TGAGCTGTGATGCCACAGCACTCTACCCAGGGGGACAGCTTGAGGCTCTGTCTCAAAAAAAAAAAAAAAAAGATTGACTGTATAGAGATCTTAAAGGGTTGGGAGATCTGGTCCCCACCCCCAGAGATTCTGCTTTAATTGATCTATGGTGAAGTAATTACATCAGCATTTTTAAAAATTCCCTAGAGTTCAAATGCACAGCCTGGGTTGAAAAACACTGTTTCAGGTTCTGCCCTGATTTGGCTGCACTGGTGGTTTTACCACTGGATCCAAATACTAATGCTAATAATAATAGTTATTTACTTATTAGGGATTTACTAAGTACAAGCCAATGTACTAAGCACTTTTGATGCATTAGATCCTGTAATCCTCAAAAAATCATGAGAAATAAATATTTTCTCCCTTACAAATGGGTAAACTGGGATTCAAAGAGTCCAGCGATCTGACCATGCCAATGAATGGCAAGGCCAGGTTGGACGCTGATTATCACCTGATTCACACCTTCTATCTTCCTCCAGACACCCCCTGAAAGTGTTCGGTGGCCTCGATCAGTCCTTGCCTGCCTCCACCTCACCTCATCACCTTCCCTCCACCCCCGCTGCTCCCCGGGTAACATCCCAGGTGACTGAAGCAATTTACAGCCATTTGAAGAGGCTCCATGTGTCACTCAATTTGCGAGGGTGGGGAGGTAGAGGAATTACAGATGCTCCAAGATGATCTTCCCCTCCCCCTGAGAACATTTGGAATTCAGGAATCAGACTCTGCCCAATGCTTCCTAGGGTCCCTATTTGGGACCCTCCCTGGAGAATACTCCCAAATGCCCCCTTGAGTTTGTTCTAAGTATCTGGGAGAGGGCTGCCACCCAGTGGCTGCCCAGGGACATGGCAACCCTCTGGCCCTCTGGTGCTGCAGGACAGCTTCCCAAACCCAAAACCTGAATGGAAGATTCTCCCTTCCTTTTTACAGCTCTTTGCCCGAGCCCTTAGCAAATGGATCATAACCTCCCTCCTCCACAGCCCTAAGTCCACACTCCCTCTAGAAATCTCCAGATCCCTTGCTGGTTTTCCCATATGCCCCTTATAACTTCTGTTCCAACTTCTTTTCACGGTGCTGTCCCCTTCTCACTGCAGGTTCTTTCTCCCAACTTAAAGCCCAGCACCACGTCCAGGGAACGTGCCTCTCACCTTCCTTCCCCCAGAGCTGCGCCAGCCTGCAAGTGGAACGAAGAAGCCACTAGAGATAGAATTCTGGTCCCCCGCACCTCACCCTCCTCCTCATCATCTGACACCATCAGACCTCAACCGCCTTGGTGCTAAGAGGCCCTAATGAGCATCAGCAAATTAACAACTTCCCCTTGATTGCTTCTTCTCTGTTAACTGAATAGGGAGCCCCCCCCTCCCTCCGCCTCTCAGAGGGGAGGAGGGAGGAAGAGAAGAAAGAAGGAAGGGAGGGAGGAAGGTGAGAGATACTGGAGCAGCCCCTAGGCCTGGGTCCAGTGCCAGACTTCTGCTCCATCCCTGAGCATAGCTTCCCCTTCCAACCCTTTCTCATTCTGCTCTCTCACTCCTTTTCTTAACTTCTGTCCAAATTACTTTGACCTCTGGCTATTTCTCCTTTCTGCTTCTTCTTTAGAGATTCGGCAGTGAGGGGCTATGATATGCACCCAGTCTTCCCACCTTACTCCCCACCCTAGCAAGCTCAAAGCTTGGGGTCTGAGCGGCCAAGGCCATTATGTTTGTTCACATATGTGCATGTGTGTACGTGTTACATGTAGGTGGGGGCAGGGATAAGAACAGGTGCGTGCTTGCCATGTGGGTCAGGCCTTTGGGATGTGCAGGGCGTCTGTGAGGTGTGTGGCTGTAAGTGGTGTGGTGTGACTCTGGGCTGTATGTCTGTTGGTGTTTCCACACGGGCCAAGTGGTTGAATCAGTCAAGTGTGACTCGGAGGTTGTGTGTGTGTGTGTGTACGAGCATGTGTGCCACCAGAGGAAGCAGCAGCAAGAGGCAGGAGCATCGATCCGAAGGAGACAGCGCGGGGAGGGGGACGCTAGGGGCAGACACCCTCCCTCCTGCGCGCGCACATACACGCGCGCGCACACACACCACACACATAGTCACACACACAAGCCATAGGGCCTCGCAGGCAGGGAGACAGCTCCGGACCGGAGGGAGGCAGCGCCGCCGAGAGTGGCCACGAGGAGGGGGCGAGCCAGCGGGGGGAGCCCTCGGTCCTGCTCCGTGGTCCTGGGGCCCCACGCGCACACTCGCCCGGAGACACCCTCGCAGACACTCGTAGGCGCGCACGCGCACCCTCTCCCCTCCCCCTCCCCTCCCGCCGCCTCCCGGCCGGACGATGGATCCCTGCAGATCCCGGGGCTGAGAGCACCGCGCACCACGCAGAGGCCGGGCGGACCCAGCCGAGGCGAGCGAGCGAGATAGCGCGCGCGGGCGGCGGACAAATCTGAGCTGAGCCGGGCCAGGCGGCCGCTCCCTGCAGGGCTCTGCGCGGCGCGCCGCGGCTGCCGCCGGCTCCGGCTTCGGGCCATGAGCCCCTCCGTGGCTGGGCACTGAACCCGCCACCGGTCCCGCGCTCCAGGACCCGCCGCCGGCTTCCGGCTTTCCGAAGCCCCCTCAGGTGGGTTTCTGATTCCCCGGTATTTGGCCGCGGGGCTCCCCGGCGCCCCGAAGCCAGAACTCTCCTCCCCTCTGGATTTCCCCAGCTGCTGAGGCGGCTTGGTGGCTGGGGAGGGGGGCGGGGGCGAGCAGGGGATCTGACTGCGACGAGAAGCTGAACTGGCTGGAAGGGGGGGGCTGCGTCCGGGGCGGGGACTGCTCGCTGTCATAGGGAACCGCGCCCCCCCACCATACATCCACCTCGGGCAGCTCGCCACCCCTTACCCCCACTCCCAGCACACATACACACGCACACACACACACACACACACACACACAGCCTGCGCCTGGGTAAGATCTGGAGATACCCGCAGGTGAGGACTCAGGCTGAGCCCCTCCCCAGCTGCATCTACCTCCCGAGGGGTTTTCTGGCCCAGGTTTAACTCAAAGGGCTAATGCCCAGCCCTGGGGATACCCTTGACCAGGAAAGGAGCTCCTGATCCAGGGTTCAGCCCACAAGAAGGGGAGTTTTCATCTCCAGGATGGGGTGGATGTTTCTGTCCCAGAGTGACCCCACATCTGGAGGGAACTCTTGGCCTGCCTGTGGAAACATCAGGACTTCCTTTTCACCCTCTAATGACTAGATCTGGGGTCTCTCCTGGCCTGGGAAGCTTCCCTGAAAGAGCATTCTCTTGGCCTGAGCTGACCCCCTGAGCTTGTGTGTTTGGAGAAACCCTGTCCTGGGATATGTCCTTTGGTCAGGGCACCTCTGGGTTTGCACACCAGGGACGTCTTCTGACCTCTGGAGATGGGATTCTGGATGGACGTCTTTGGAGGGGCTCCATGTGTACTTTCATTCCAGGACAATGACAAACTGTGCTCCTCGCCCCCCACAGGATTTCCTCAACAAGCATGGAACTGAAGGCCGAGGAGGAGGAGGTGGGTGGCGTCCAGCCGGTGAGCATCCAGGCCTTCGCCAGCAGCTCCACACTGCACGGCTTGGCCCACATCTTCTCCTACGAGCGGCTGTCTCTGAAGCGGGCACTGTGGGCCCTGTGCTTCCTGGGCTCACTGGCCGTGCTGCTGTGCGTGTGCACAGAGCGTGTGCAGTACTACTTCCGCTACCACCACGTCACCAAGCTCGACGAGGTGGCTGCTTCCCAGCTCACCTTCCCTGCCGTCACGTTGTGCAACCTCAATGAATTTCGCTTTAGCCAAGTCTCCAAGAATGACCTGTATCATGCTGGGGAGCTGTTGGCCCTGCTCAACAACAGGTGGGTGGCTCCCACCCCACCCCTCAGCCCCACAACCAGAATTGTAAGAGTTCTAATCAGGGTGTTTGCCTCCCTAACACACCATAGAGCCCAGACAACCCTGCCCTCTGTCCACCCCCACACCTGCCACTCACAGCAGAGGAGCTGGGATAATGCTGAGCACCTAATTAAGGGCACCCAATCTCTGATCCCAGCATAGTCCAAAACAACTCTACCCCTACCTGGCCTGAGCTGTGAGACATTAATACCCTCTCTGGAGTGAGCTCTGCCCTCCCTCCAGCCTCTATCTTGATCTTTTCCTCACTTGAGGGATGGGGGACAGACCTTTTTTAAAGGGTGGAGAGCACAGTATAAAAGCCATTACTCCTGCCTTATCTCTCTACCCACCCCATCCTTATCATGCTTCCTCTCACCCATGTGCTGAGATGCCCATCTCCTGGGCAGCCACTAAAGATCCCAGGGTTGTCTGAGAACGCTGGTCCTCTGGACGTGCCCAGCTCTCCTTCTTTGCCAATGCCTGGTCCTGATCCCCAAGGCTAGATGGTGCACCTCTCTCCCCCATGTTGGGTGTAAAACATTGCTGGTCGTCCTGATCCATGTGCATCTCACCCTGGGCTCCAGGTATGAGATACCAGACACACAGATGGCAGATGAAAAACAGCTAGAGATACTGCAGGACAAGGCCAACTTCCGCAGCTTCAAGCCCAAGCCTTTCAACATGAGGGAATTCTACGACAGAGCAGGGCATGACATTCGAGACATGCTGCTCTCCTGCCACTTCCGGGGGGAGGTCTGCAGCGCAGAAGACTTCAAGGTGGTGAGTGAGTCCCCTGGTGTGAGAAGCAAGTCAGCCTGGCCCCCAGAGGAATAGATAACAAAGAACAGGACAGGCCTCTCATGGTCTTGCTACTCTGAAAGAGGAAGTTGTGTGTCCTGGCTTTGTTTCTGGTGCTCAGGGGCACATTTACACCGCATGAGGGTCTGAGCCATCCCTGATGGCAAGAGAGAGAGCCTGTGGTGTACAACACACACACACACGTATTCACATGTGGCCTGGCATAGCCTGACTCCACCAATCTTACCTTCTGGGCCACAGTGTCAGAGCTAGGGGGTGGGTGAGCGATAGCTTTGTTCCTCGAGGTGAGGTCTTGGACCACAGAGACCATTGCTGGGAAGCTTAAAAGATATAAAGGACTTTGCCACCCCACTTTCCAGACATACTGAATCAGAATCTACAGTCTAATAAGGTCCCCAGGTGATCTGAGTACACATTAAAGCTTGAGAAGCTTGAGAGGGAAGCTTCCTCTTAAATAGACAGGTAATTCCCTCTGTGCCACCTCCACCTTGCGCACATACACTGTCTGCTTCAGTTCCCCCTTGCCAGCAAGAGCCACAGAGCCAGAGTCTGAGGAAGGAGAGGCCATGATCATGAGAGATGGCTGAACTGGAGGCTCCCTTTGCTTTTTAAAATGGAGATGCCTCACAAACAAACACCCTACAACCCACAGATGTGACTGCATCAAGGAGGGTATAGGGCAACTGGCTTTGGCATCTGATGTGCTAGATGATCCTGGGAAAGTCACACAGATTCCTGGGGGTAAGACCTGGACAGAGGCTGGAAAGAGACCAAAGGACTTGAAGCCATGTATGAATAACATCACAGGAGAGGACAGTGCTTATAGTTCTTTCTGAGCTTTCCTTCGTCCCCTGGATAAATAATCACATTACCTCTGTTTTACAAATGCATAAACTGAAGCAGAATGATTTGCCCCAGCTCACATACCTGGTTGGTGACAGATTTAGGATATGAACTCATGTCTTGGTAAGACTCAGTGCAAAGCCTCTTTCCATTAGTAGCACTGACCCTGAGTTATTAAGTCCTCATCCAATTCTGACTATTCTTTGAAACCCAGTCTCCTCTGGGACCCTTTGGTCTCCATGCCTACTCCTAATTCTCTGCTCTCAGATCCTATCTTCTCTTCCTGCCCGTTTTATCCCCCACCTGCTTACTTCTTCCTACTATTATGGGAACATGAACTGCATGTTTGTGTAAGGCTTGAGTCATGGTCATGCTTAGTGTTTTCTTTTGAGGTTACACAGGACTTCCCAATTTCTGTGCTCTGCAGACCTGTTTCATGGACCTTTGTCAATCTGCTAGAAACAGGTTACATGACTACACTCCCTGCTGAGCCAAGCTGATGGGGAGCTGAGCTAAGCTGATGGGGGACTTAGCCTGGATACAAGAACCACTCCTTCCTTCTTTCCCTTCTTTACAACAGAAGAGTCCTGGATTCCCCAGAGCCTGAGACTAGATGGTTCCCAAGCTCATGAACTGGGTTTCCAAGTGTAGTAGAATCTAGGTCAGTGGTTCTCAACCTTCCTAATGCTGCAGCCCTTTAATACAGTTCCTGTGGGTCATGACCCACGGGTTGAGAACTGCTGATCTAGGTGAAGGTGGAAGCAAGAGCCAGAACAGCCCCCCCCCACCCGCACCGCGCGCCAATGCTAAACAGAAAGGACCATCTTGGATGGTTCATAGTGTTAGATGAGGAAGAAATGTGCTTGGTTCCACTTGGGAAGGTGCTAAGGTATAAAGCTGGGATATAGTCAGGCCTTAGAAAGTGTTTAGTTGGGGCTGCATTTGTGCATCACATCCAGAAAGATTCTAGGTGGTGATGGTAAGACATGTTTGGCTTACAATAATGGAGATACTGAAATGCAATTGGTCCATACTAAGGAGTCAATTCTAAGTAGTCAGATGGAAATATGATTGTTTCACATAGTTCTGGAGCAATCTGAGTTCTTCTAGCTAGGGGAAGAGACACATTGCATCCTGCAGGCCCAACTGTGGTATTTCTTGATTCTGGATAGTCAGGGAAGACCAGGTATTTGCTGTTTCTTAGCCTGTGTCCAAGACCTGACCCTGAATCTGGCTGGGCCCAAACCTCTTGAGCCCTCCCTCTACCCTCTCTAGTTGACCTCACTACCAGCCCCTTTCCATGTCAAGAACTCTACCACTTCTGCCCATAAGGATGTTCTTATACAGATGAGAGTCTGGCTGTGTCTATGTCTGAACCCTCCCTGGTGGAGAAGAAGGGCTGAGCAGGCATTCTCCCCCAGAGCCCCAGTCCCAGGGACCTCACACACTCTTTGCTTGCTGTTCTACCTTCTCTCTTCTCTCCTGGGTTTCATGATTAACATCCTTGACACTCTGTGCTAGGCTAAGAGGTTTGTTGGGAATGTGTATCCAGCTCCTTGGGTGGATGTAGCAGTGAAAGAAAGTCTCTGTCTATAGGGTCAGGACTTAGGGGGACCATCTTGGCATCATTTCCAGCCTCAAGAGCAGAATTTTTTAACTGAGCAAAGGAAGTGGCCAAGGAAGAGGCTCTGGGCCTTTGGTTGCTCTTTGTAGTTCAGGAAGGAGCTCCTGAGGCCCACCTGGCAGGATTGCCATAGGCCCCTCCCCTCATTACCCAAGCTCTTACTCAGTGTTTGCAAAATATAGTGTGCAGGAACAAATGTAGACTCTTCTGTGGATTTCTAAGGGCAACCCTCATCCAAAGGATAACAGCCCTGTTCCTAGAGAGCCATTCCGGGAGGTACAGGAAGGAGGCTACTTTGTCTCTCAAAGACCCAAAGACCCCTGAATCTTCAGTAATGCACGTGATCCCAGATACGCTTCTGAATCCTGTTCAACCACAGGTGACTGGTCAGTGGTCAGAACGCTTGGCTGGGGGTTCATCCCCCAGGTGTGGCTGAGTCTGGTCAGGAAGGTGGGGGTGAAGATGGGGAATCTGAGCTAAATTTGGGAGAAACTTGTTTGGAAATCCTTTGGGACCAAAGAGGCAGAATGGCCATAGGAGGAGTAGCCTGGCAGCAATCCGGATGGGTGGGCTGCAGTGGCTCCCTCCTGAGCTACCAAAAGAGCAACCAAAGGCCCAAACAGAGGCCCCCTCTTCCCTGGCCTCCTCCTTTCCTTCCTGGTGGGGTGCCTGGTTGCCTAGGCAACAGGGGCTGAGGCTCCTCTCTCCCACCCCACCTTGAGGCCAGCCAGGCCAAGGCAGGGCAGGGGTTCCACAGAAGGGGCCTGGGGGCGCAGCTGTCTGCTAGTGTCTGGATGGGGGCCGGGAGTGAGGACAGTTGCAGCTGGTGCCAGCCTCCAGCTGCACCTTGTCTGTCCCTGGCAGTGGGAGCGGCTAATGTGGTTGGAATGCTGAGCAGCAGCAAGGGGAGGGGGCCAGCAGATGGCTGCCCAGTCTGCCCCATGCCGCCCTTCCTCCGGCTGTGACCCAGACCCTTTGCCTGGGGAGAGCAGAGCAGGAATTCGCTTCTGGACCCTAGATAAGAAGAAAGGGGAGATCAGACAGGGGAAGTCCTGAGGGTGGGTGGGTGTTGCTGACAATAATCTCTCTCAGGAGCAGGTGGAATTGGGGGACAGGAATCTCAGGAGGCCCATGGAAGTCTCCCCCAGGAGAGATGAAGTGAAAAAAGTGGGCACAGAAATTCCTTCAAGGCTGTGGGGGGCAGGAATCTCCTGGAACACCTAGGGAAGTGAGGTGCTAACATAAGAGGGGGTGTGGGTGATCCTGGGACCCAGGGGTAGAGGAGAGATTTTTATCTAAAGGCAAGCAGAACCAGGAGTGGCTGGGCCCAGGAAGAGCTGGGCCTAGCATGGGAGTCTCTCAGGAGGGCCTGACCTTATGACCTGGGTCTATTCCTCTAGCTAAGAAAGAAATGGACAGGTAAGGACGGGAAAGGCTGTCCAAACTGCTCTGCAGAGAGGTAGAAGGGTCATGGGTATCCTGACCCAGGGGCCTGGTAGTCTCCAGGGGTGGAGGATTAAAAGGGAAATATGCACAGATTGCAGAGGGATAGAAGAGGCAGAAGCAGAGAGAGGATGGGCCCTCAAACCCCAGGAGTTCACTGGCACCCCTCCAGCCTTATCCTTCCTCTCTCTCCTTCCCTCCCTAGAAAGTGTCTGAACTGAATATGGGAGGGTGGAGAGAAGAGAATGGAGAAGAGCCCACTGCAGGACCCCAGGGCATGGGCCCTGAGTGGGGTCTCAGTCTTTCCTTTTTCCGCTCTCATGCACAGATGTACACAAACATCCTTTGGGTAACTGAGTTTCCTCCCTCATCTCCCTTTCTCCCCCAACCAGAGCCATTTCAGACTCCACCTCTCTCCCAGGACTGCTATCAGCTAAGAGGCTACTCAAAGCTAATCGATCTCCTGGCTGTTGGCTAAAGTAATAGGGAATTGATGTAAGTGACTAAGTGCCTCTAGGGGCAGAGCTTGGAAGTGGAGGGTTGGGGAGGAGAAGGCCTCCGAGCCTTGGGCCTTGATGGAGAACATTCAAGGTGGCCACTGCCACCCACTGTGTGTCCAGGAGGCAGAGAGGAGCCTGCAGAGAGGTCAGGAATTTTGGACTGTGGGCAGAAGCTGCTTCTGAGTGTGCTTTCATTTTGTGGAAAATAATTTCAGTTCTGGGTGTGGTGAGGGAGATTGGATATTAGGAGAGAGGAGCTGGGACGGGGAGTGTTGAGCTCCACTTGGCTCATTCCTGTAATAGCCAGCACCACCTCTCAGGGTCAAGTCCTGTGCTGGGGAAAGTCAGGGCAGCACAGGTGCCTTGGGGCTGAGAGCAGGGGTGGTACTAAGGAAGTTGGGGGCTTCAGAATGAGCAGGAACCCATTAGAAATGAGAGGACCTCAACATCCAAGTGGAGTCCTCCCAATCTCCAGTTCAACCTCTGTGCTGGGGAAAGTCAGGGCAGCACAGGTGCCTTGGGGCTGAGAGCAGGGGTGGTACTAAGGAAGT